TTTGAAGCTGGGATTGGCTGAGTCTCAATAGATGATGCTGGCAAAGCTAACGTAAACTTAGACTTCGACTTCTTTCCTTCAGTCTTTTTTTTCTTGCTATTAGAAATAATGTCACATTCACTGTGATTCTCTGAGGAAATATTTGGAGGATCTAAAGGATCATTCTTAAAGTAAACTATATCATCATGGTTAGATGGCTCCAGTAATATATCTGCTAATACATATTTCCCACTCTGTTGCAGACATTCATAATCGTCTCATATATCAGAGACGCGATCTTTATTGATATGGTAGTTCCTTACTATCATATATGCAGGAACCTTATTTTTAAGACATCTAATTTTTTCGATCTGCTCAGGCGTTAAAACACTAACATCTCGTCGATAATGAATTTTTAAAAATTGGCTAGGCATAATTCCTTCAGTATTTTCTAACAATATTTTAAAATGATAAAAAATAATATTTATCTTTTTTGAATGATAAAAACCAATATTTATAGTTTTTAAACAATAAAAAACAATGAAAACTGATAAAAAATGATGAAAACTGATGAAAACTGATGTTTTTCAATAAAGGATATTTGATTTTTTATTTTGACAAGAAAAAATAAAAGATGCCTTATGGATGAAATTTAGTTATGCGCATTTTTTTTCCTGCTATATAACCATGCCAAGATTATGTCCAATATGCATACATTGAAGGATATAAAAGATAGAGAATATCAGCTGAGTAGTACATATGAGCAAGAGCTCGAAAAAAAATTAAGAACTGCTATCGATTCTAACTCTGAAATTATCGATTTCAATGAAAAGTTACAGGCTGAAAATTTGGAGTATTCAGAGCGAGAGGAGGATATTAGAAATAAGATTAGTCAGTTAAATATGTCTAGCGCTAAAGTTAGATCCCAACTTATTTCTGAACAGAAGTTTCATTCTGAGAGTCAACATGAACTTGAAGCCAAATATACTGCCAAAATCAAATCGTTTAAATCAAATATTAAAACTCTGAAAAGAGAAACAACTTTGGCCTAAAAGCTTCGTCCGCTAACAAGATCAAGATTCTTTCTCTCAAAACTAAGGTAGTTAAATTGAAAGATAAGTTAGAGGACTTAAAACTGGATCTAGTATTTTATGATTCGAATGTAGTGGGAGGGATGATAGAGGAGCCAGCCTAAATAAACTCATTCGAATCCAAAGAGATTGATTCTCTCAGGCTTGAATTAGAATAGGTAAAGGAGAATTTTAATTCAAAAAAACATAAAATAGAATGCATGGAAAAAGGGATAGAAGCGACACATGAGATAATCAGTTGAAAAAGAGATGCTTTGTCTTCAACACGATTAAATTTAATAGAGGAAATTCTCGTCTTCGAGAGTTAGTGTCAAAAAAGGATAATGAAGTAGATCCTCCATCCCCGCCTATAAATGATTCATTGCAAAAACTACCAGGTTGGCTCAGTGATGATTTAAGATCCCTTATTTATAAGCACGATCTTGAAGATAAGGTTATAGAATTCGATAAAAGTTTTGCTAGAAAACATATATTAGAAACTTGCAAGAACTATTACCCCAGGATGAGATAGTTTTGAGAAATCAGGCAGTTATCCTACTTAATCAATCTGTTCATAGTCGACCAGCACATTCTGAAAAATTTATTTTAAGGGAAGGGGTTGCGAAGCAATCAGGTGGCACAGAAACAGTATTATCATCCTAAACAATACCTCTAACACCAACTATTCCTATTGTTGCAGACTCCTTAATGTCACTTATGTTAATATATTCCATACTTACCTTATTACTTATTGCAATTATATGGTTTGTAGTCAGAAAAAAAATATGAAATTCATGGGAAAAAAGTGACTGATACATTCAGACTAGCAATTTACACCTCCAGGCATATCTGAGACTGGGTTATATGATCAGAGGTCAGAAGTTCGAAGATAGGAATTGAAGTTAGCCAGTATTGTTGCATAAAAAAAAAATATATAAATAATATTATAAGTATTCTAGTGGAAGTGTAGCAATTTCAGCTAAGAGTACTTATCTATATAATTCAATGATTTCGTCTATATCTGCTTTAGACGGATCATTGAAATACCTAGAAAGTTTATTGTAAAGTTTTTATATATTTTTAAGCCATTTTTTTGCGCAAGTAACATAATACAATATATAGAAATACTAAGTATAAAATATATGTAAGTTTCCCAAATCTTTAAAATAAAAATTTTATATAATTTTAAGTGAATACACTTGTTGGCAAAATACTGGGTCAGTGGTAGTATCCAAAAGTAGTCGATGTGTTAGTATCCAAAAGTAATTAATGCAATAATAACCCAAAGTAATCATACATAGGGATACCCCAAAATAGCAACTATACGAAAAAGAATTCTAGGAAGACAGGAGTAAAAACTAGGGTATAAATTTGGTAGTATTCAAAGGTAGAATTATATAGAAATAAAATAAGAAATTATGCTTTTGGATACTACCGCTGATAGGCAGGAAAGAGATCGGGAAGGCAGAAAGATTCAGGAGAATACACGAAAAAAGGTATGAAAGCAATATAGCCTGAACTAATTTGGCATTTCATGCCTCATCCTCAGCAATCAAAAAGGTCACGAAAGGTAGGATTGCAAGAATAGCATAACATCAACACTTCGTGTCTCACCTAGCAATCAAAAAGTGAGTGAATAGATTGCGATACATCTTCGGCAAATAGATGGATTGCAAATTCAACACTTCATGCCTCATCTGACAATCAAATGGACATCTCCAAACCTCCAACCAACTGATTTACTAGACTGAACCCTAAATATTTCTCAAAAGTGTTGAGAAGGTAATGGGAAAGTACTTGAAACTCAAGGCGCAGAAAATTTTCGCTTAATTTTGGCTGATATTTCTCTGAGAGAACTGTTTTGCCAAGAAAAATTTTCACTTAATTTCGGTCAGTACTATTCCATAATTTTGGTCGAAATTGGAACACAATAACTCAGTATCTAAGCTGACATATAAGTGGTCTGAAACTGGTGAATTAATAGAACTACACTAGCACCTTGCCAGTTTTTCACCAATTCTATGACAGTTCTAGATCACTACCATGGCACTATCATAGCGCTGAGTTGGATTTTCAAATCACGTGTCTTAAAGATCAGCTAAAATTATGGCATAGTGTCAGCTGAAATTAACCACGAATTTACTACGCCGCCTGACACCATATTTTTTTTACCACATTTTGTTATCTAGAAAGACAACAAAATAGGCGTAAAGGGTAAGCATTTTAATATAGAATCCAGTATCCAACCAGGTGCAAGAGGTCAGCATTCTCAACATAAAACCAGATATCTAAACAGCTACAGTAGACTAACAACTCTATTATAGAATTTAGCATGTAAACAACTCAGAAATAAGAAGAAAAGCGTGATATTTAGATTATATAGTGGTAGTTAGGTTAAATGGTGGGTGGTAGTTAGATTATATGGTGGTAAAAAATATAGATATCAAGAAAGATTTAAAAAGATAGCTAGAGTATAAAAAAGATACCTGATATGCGAAAAAAATAGATTATATGGTGATAATTAGATTATATTATTTAGATTATATGGTGGTAATTAAATTATATTATTTAGATCATATGGTGGTACTCAGATTATATAGTGGTATTTAGATCATATGGTGGTATTCAGATTATATGGTGGTAATTAGATTATACAGTGGTATTTAGATCATATGGTGGTAATATAATCTAGGACAAGTGGGATACCACCATTTAATATAATTATATTAAATAGTGATATCCCACTTGTATCCTTATATTCTTATTTTAATTAGATATATTATTCTATACAATTTTCTAGTTTAAATTATAAAAGAGAATTTTTTAAACAAAATTTGATTAAGACTGATATTTGTAATCAGTCAATAATAATATATTATACAGTATATGTTAATTGTAATTAATTTATATAATGTAAATTTAATAGAATATAATTTTACAAATTAGTATAAAATTAAATAACATAAATATAATATTTTGATTAAATATAAAAATCATGTTTATTTTTTTTTTAAAAAAAATTTAAGAATCAAAATTTTTTATAGAATCAGAAAATTTTTCTGATAATTTTTTAAAAAACCAATAAATGGAAAACTTATTGGCAAAATTTCTGATAAATCTAAGATTTAATTTTTAATTTTACTTATTTACAAATTAGAAAAACTCTTAAAATTTTCTTTTAATTATTTATATTTAAAATTTAATATAAATAATGTAATTATTAAACTTTCAAGTTTTACTTATCTTATAAAAGGTTTTCATATCATAAAAAAATTTCTAAAGTATTACTTTACTTCTTTTAAATACCTATTAACAAAAAACATATAAACAAATCTCAATAATTATCCTCTTAATTATTAATAAATAGCAACTTATTCAACAGGTATATTAATAACAAGCAGATTTCATTTATATTACAAACTTACTTATTAACACATCTGCTCCTAACTTCTATACTGATAGATTTCTTATCAACTTATCTTAGAATATTATTTATTAAACTTATTACAGTCTATATATGATTCATTTAATACATCAATATTATTTTCTTTTTTTTCAACCCGAATAGAGTTATTTACAATTATTTTAGCAGTAATATAGTTTGTTTTTCACAATCATTACCTATATTATTTTTAGATAGCTAAATAGTTATTCATAGTTTTGATTAATTATATTATTAATAATTCTTATACTATACAACGATATGAAATATCATTTCTCAAAACATTGATTAGTTTTTCTTTTTCAATTAAATTAGTTAAAGTCAAAAAAATTTATATAATAAAAAAATCAAGTTCTCTTATATAAATTTGATCTATTGTAAATATTACTTTTATTTGGCAAATAGCATCATTAAATTTATATATGATTATGTTGAACGCGCTAGTTAAGTTTCTTTAGATAACAATATTTTATATCTAGCCGTAAAAGGCGATAATACGACAAATATTTATGAGACTCTGCTGTTGGGGTATGTAATACAAAAAAAAAAATTGATTATAAAATCAACAATGAAAAATCGAAAAAAAAAACTATTCAAAACTTTCCTATTTTTTATTTTTTAATATGGTAGTTGCAAACGAAAATGTCTCAGATAAATCACAAGTCGTGAAAGAATGGGAGACAGTACCTGGTATGTCCTCAAACCCATTACCACCAACAACGGTACCATTTTTAAAACCAGCTCCACAAATACACGAAGAATATCAATACCTTAATCTTATTAGACATATAATGGAATATGGAGAACATAGAGAAGATCGTACGGGAACAGGAACTTTATCAATATTTGCACCACCACAATTGCGATTTTCTCTACGTGATAATGTTCTACCCTTGTTAACAACAAAACGCGTTTTTACGCGTGCAGTTATAGAAGAATTATTATGGTTCATCAAAGGTGATACTAATAGTAAACATTTAACTGAAAAGGGGATTCATATTTGGGATGGTAATGGCTCTCGCGAATATTTGGATAAAATTGGATTGACACATAGAAACGAAGGTGATTTGGGACCTGTTTACGGATTTCAGTGGAGACATTTTGGTGCCGAATATGATTCTTGTGACACTGATTATACAGGTAAAGGTGTTGATCAACTTCAAGAAGTTATTGATAAAATCAAAAATAGTCCAAATGATAGACGAATAATCTTGAGTGCTTGGAATCCAGCTGGTAAATAATAAATAAATATATATACTACATTTTTTTTTTTTTTTTGTTCTTTTTAATAAAAAAAATTATATAACGAATTATTGATTTATAGATATGAAGAAAATGGCATTACCACCATGTCATATGTTTTGTCAATTCTACGTATCATCGAGGATGAATACACGAAGCCTATCATGCCTTCTTTATCAAAGATCATGTGACATGGGTCTTGGTGTGCCCTTTAACATTGCTAGTTACGCCATATTAACTCGTATGATTGCTCATGTAACCGGTTGTAGTCCTGGAGAATTTATTCATACGATGGGTGATGCTCATATTTATACCGATCATATAGATGCTTTAAAGATTCAAATTGAACGTGAACCAAAACCTTTTCCTTGTTTAGAATTTAAACGTGAAATCAATAATATAGATGATTTTAGATTTAGTGATTTCATTATTACTGATTATAAACCACATGCTCAAATCAAAATGAAAATGTCTGTATAACGAGAGAAAACGGGAGCGAAGGTAGAAAGAAAAAAAAAATTTTAATACTTTATTGTTAGAAAAGGAAAATTTTATCCATGTTGTTAAATCAATAAAAATTAATATGAACAAAAAATTCTTTTATTAAAAATATCGTGGTTTATAATAATATTATATGACAAGTATTTGCTTTGTTATAGATGATTTCTTATATCGGAAATATCTATAATCTATGAGGAATTTTTTTTTTAAATCAAACCCTTCCAAAAAAGACAGATTCGTTAAGTTTTGGATTTTGTTTTATAGCTTCAGAAGTTAAAGTATCAATAACTTCTTTAGGTGGGTTTAATCCAAGTCTATGAGCTCTCTCCCAACGAGCTAATCTTGTTAATCCAACACAAGGACCGAATTGATAATTCAGGTCAAACGCGTGAAGCAGTTTATCTATCGGTGTAAAGTCCTCATCATGAAATGCTAAAAAAAATATATATATACACACATTTAGTATTCGATTTACCGACCTAAATCAACCTAAATCAGCTCGATTGATTTTGATGGGCCTTACTAAGCTTTGTTCGAATATCCATATCACCTCTTGGTGATTGTTCTGGTTCACTTGTAACATCAGGGAGTGAAACTTCAAGTGGAACAATATCGTTTTCATCTACGAAATCTTCAACATCGTTATAATCCTCAAATATTTCATCATCAGATTCATCCAATATTCTTGGACGACTTGATGATGTTTTAGTACGAGTTTTTTGCCCAGCAGAAGCTGCATTAGAAACCTTAAGTGATGATATAGGACTATTTTCTTCAATAATCAGGTCGCGTCGTTCTTCTTCATTAACGATTATAGATTGTTCTCCCTTTCTTTCACTTTTTTCAACAGTTTGTTTAATTTTCTTTTTTGGTTTATCTTTTTCAATAGAGTCTTTCTCCCTTTTAGCGGAAGAGAACATTTCAGACAACTTTCGTTGAACCATCTTTCTACCGCTTTTTTCTCGAGGCATTTTTTTTTTTCTTACAAAAAAAATAAACAATATATTTTACGTTTAAATTACGTTAAAAGAAGAAAATGGATTTGTTTATGTAATTTATGTCATTATTTATGTATTTCTTATTGACCAATGATCAGTCGCTGATGATCGAAATCCCGAATATCATAGATGCGCAGTCAATCCACTTTTTTAAACTAGAAGAAATGTCGCAAATCGGATTAGCAATCATACGACTGTCACAAATTTGGTCACCCCGAAACATACCCGCATTATTTATATGACCGACCACATGGTAAAGGATTTATGATAACACCTATGCTTTAATCTTACCTTAAATAAATCTAGTTCATATCTCCTTTTGTACAATGGTGGGGAGTTAATGACAATTTGTTATTTTATAATATCAAAACAAATACTACGGAAAAATCTTAAAAAAAGACCCATAATAGTAAAAAAATTTTTTTTTTAGAGTTTTTAAATGAATGAAATTCCTATGATAAAAATTATTAAATAAAATTTTCTCCAAGAAATGTGTAATACATGCAAAGGAACATCAAACACATCAACAATTAATAATTATTATGATATTATAATGAAAAATTGATTCAATACTGTCTTCCATAACCACCAAGAGACCGAGCTGAGTCATTAGCATAAGTAATTATTGTTTTATCGCGTTTTTTGTCAAATTCATTTTTTGGTGCAACGAAATCGTGATTAGTTTGCCGTTTGGTCTTTGATAAAGCAAACTCTCCTTTCCATTTGCTAACTTCATTGTCTGTATTTGGTGAAAATTGATTGCCGTTTAAAATATCAGATTGATGAACATTGTTCTTAGTTGATGTTAATAAATCCCCTACACGATTTGAAAGATCATCCAAAGAATCATCTTCAACTAATGATAAAAATTTGGCCAGAGTTCTAGCGCCGGATTTCAACGGAGGGAGTGAATATTCAGTATCGGATGCTTCATTTGATAGATTTTTATGAGATGATGAGCCTTGTTTTGAATGAAATTGAATGCTACACGCAGTATATCCCCCAGATTTTTGTAATTTTTCTACTGCGTGTTCATATTTTTCAAGTTCTTGAAGTAAATCTTTATGTCTTTGTAATTGATCAACCGTTAAGAAATATTGTTCGTCAGGCAGTGCTATGAATTGTTGTTGAATAAGATATTTCTATTATGAAATAATAATAATAAAAATAAAAATGGCGGACGTATAATAAAAGGTGATTTCATCGTTTGATTCGGTAAAAAAAAAAAAAAAAAAAAAAACTATCGAATTACCATGGCTATAAAATTCCGTGTTGCTGTATCATTATTCTTATAAATAATGTAATGCAATGGAATTAATCGATTGAATTTAGCATATAATGGAATTAAGTCTGCCATAAGGTTTGAATATACGACCTTTTCTTCTTTTGTCACCGTTGGATTCAACGGAAAGTTCACTAGATTAAAGGAAAAAAAAAGCTTTGAATAAATTTTATATTAAAAATTTTAAAAAGGTTGAATAAAAAAACACGTTAATGTCCAAATCTTTAACATACCACCAGTTTTTTTTACTTCTTGGTCGAGTTCAGCGACCCTTTGAACAGCCTGTTGATGTTGTAAGGAACTAATCACTAAAACTGTATTAAAAGGACTAGGTAGAATGGAGAAAGGGATTAACGAGTCAGTTGCATTTGACTGTTTTAAGGCATTTTGTTTTGAAGTCGAAGACATCATGGAATTAAAAAATAAAAATAAGGATATTCTTCGAATAATTGAAGTCCAAAGGTTGATGATTATTTATACCAGAAATTTTATTGGATATTTCCGATTTTACCCAAATTACCTGATTTTTTTAGGATCAAAGAGAGATAAGGTAATGATAATAGATGGAAGTTCATAAGATAAGAGTTAATACATTTTCCGCGGGTACCTGGAATAGATTCCCAGGCTAAAATTTAATTGGATTAGTTTATGCATTAATGCATTATAAATAATGGGATTATATTAAAAGTTTAGTATTAGATTTAATAACAATAAATACAAATTACTTAGAGAATTGCTTATTTGAATACTATGTGTAACATAAAAGGGTGACAAATAACATTTTTAGTATAAAAAATTTTCTAATTTCCAGATTAATAGTATTAATAGTAAAAACGAAAAAAATAATAGAGTATGACCTAATCTGTATATTAACAATAATATATCTAATATTTGTATTAATAAGTATTTTAATAAATATTAAATGTTATATTTAAGTTAAATAAATATTATCTTTTATTATTTTCTTTTATATATTTTTTTAATAATAGTTGAAATTAAAAATGAAATAATTATTAATTAATATAAAATAATATTTATAATATTAAATATTATTATTTTATATATAAGTTTATGATATTATAATATATTTTTAGTATTATAAATATTTTATAACAATAATTTTATAATTTTATTTTAATAAAATAATTTTAATATTTATATTTAAATATATTAGTAAATTTATTAATTATTTTCTAAGTTTTTTTCTTTAATTAATATATTAATATATTTAATTATATTTATTTGATTTAATTTAAATATCTTTTAATATTTATACATTAATATTAATTTAACTTTCTTCTAGTAATTTAAATTCTAAATATTTCAGTTTAATTTGAATTATAAATTTTAAAAATGTTAATCTGAACTGTTAACTATTAAATATTTAAACTGACTAAAAATTTTAAAATAATCTAAAAATTTAGTTTATATAAATAAAACAAAATATATTGTTAAACTAAAATAATATATTAATTGAATAATATTTTTATTATTAAATTAAAATAATTATATTTATTTATTTTAATTAAATAATAAAAATATTATTCAATTAGAATAATGATTTTATTATTTAATTAAAACAATATCTTTTATTTTAACTAAAATTTTTAAAATAATCTAAATTTTTTAGAATTATAATCTAAACTGAACTAAAATTTTAGATTAACTTTATTACAATCTAAAAATTAAACTGCATTAATTTAAATTGTAAATATTCAAATTAATCAAAACTTTACTAATAACTTTATATAATGATCTTTTTATAAATTTAATTACTTCTTATAATTTTAAATAAATAGTTTTTAATGAATTTTAATTTTTTATTAAAGTTTGATATAGTTTTACTATTTTTATAAGTTTTAATATAATTTTACTTTTTCTTTAATTTTGTAGATTTTTTAATAAGATTCTAATATAATTTTTACTTTTTTTTATTTAATAATCTGCAAAATCTCTTTAATAATCTTATATATAATCATTACTTTACAAATATTTTTAAAATTATTTATAAATATATTTATTTCACAGAAGACTTATAATTTTTTGATGTTAACTATATTTGGATATTAAAATTGTTTTATTTTTTAGAAAATTTTTATTTAAAAATTATTTAATATTTATTTTTTTTTATTATATATCTTATTAAAAAATTAAAAAATAAGATATAACTGATTTTTACTTTAAATAAAAGAGTTTTTTATTGATATAATTTTTAAATAAGATAAAACTTATTTAAAATCTTTATCATTCTTAATAAATTCTAAATTAATACACTTTATATCTAATTTTTTAAAATATAAAATTTATAAATTTGTATTTTAAACTTCAATAATTTTGTTATATTTTTTTAATTTTGAATTTTTAATGAATTTTTCAAACAAGAAATAGGTCAAAGTTTAAAAAATATAGATAGCATTTATTAATATTATTTTAATAGCTATTTAATAAAATTTATAAATATATTTTCAAATTTATTATCATATTATTTAATACTCTCTAATTTATTTATTCTCTAATTTATTTTCTATTAATTATAATATTTCATTTTTTTATCTTTTATTTTAATAAAATATTTGAAAAAAATTCTTTAAATATTTTTTATTATTTTTTGTAAGTAAATTTAAATTATACAATACTCTTTTAAAGATATTTTTAGATTATAAAGTAAAAATTATTTATTTTAATTAAATGAAATTTATATTATATAATTAGAATGATAATTTTATCATTTTAATTAAATGATATTTGTATTATTTAATTGAAATAATAATTTAAATGATTTTAATTGAATAATATTTGTATTATTTAGTTAGAATAATATATTTCAAATTGTTACAATTAAATAATTCTTTGATCATTCTTTTAAAATTATATTTTATTATTTTAGTTAAACAATTCTTAGATCATTTTTTAGAATGATTTTTTTATCATTTTAATCAAATAACTTTTATCATTCTTTTGAAATGATATTTATTATTTTTTTTAAAATAATATTTTAATTATTTTAATTAAACTATTCTTTTATTGTTCTTATAAAATGATATTTTATCATCATATTAAAATATAAAAAGTGTATGATGAATTATTTTGAAGAAGTTTAGCAAATATCTATAATTTATGCATATTCACACTTTTTTTAAAATTTAAAAACATGAATAAACTGTAAAATCATCTGATTTGTTAAAGCAAATTAATAAGTATGAAAGTGATAAAATTGAAAAAGAAAAACAAACTTTGATTTTAGAAGAATGCAAACTTGAATTGGGAGAACAAGCAGCTAAAGTTTCTCATTAAACTTTGCATTATTCATATAGAGGAATGAATTGACAGGTAGATAAGTGATTTTATGATTTGTGTTAAATCTGTCAAATGTCATAAAATGGAATCAGAAAGTTCTAAATTTAGATTCTCAGTAAATCTTTCTTTGAAAAAAGAATATATTAAAATATGCTATATAACAATCATTTCTTTATTTAGGCTTTATTTTAAATCATTTAAATCCTTGATCAAATTTTGGATCATGAAAAAAACGAGTTGAATTTAATAAATAATTTAATTTATCAAAAATATCAGAATATGCATTTATATTATATATCTCGAATAATTTCTTTATTTTAACAGTTACAAAAATAAAATCCTGCATTTATATTCAAAATTATATAAATATCAAGCCATTTATCATCAATTTCTTCCTTTCATATTTGAGAAGTTAAACCTTATCGGTAATGCTTAAATCATTATTAATACAATAAATGCATGTCTTTGGAAAATTTCATATATAGAAATATGTACCCTATTTTCTTGTTTAAATATCTTTTTTTTCTGGCGCGTTCAATTGAATTGTCGCGCCACAAATGTTAAGCTGCGCCACATACATTCAACAGTTTATTCGGTGTAACCTGTCACATTTTTTAGCAATGCAGTTTTATCAAGTGCAAAAGATGTTGATAAATAGAGGAGGTTATCGATTTCATTCATTGTTTAGTGGTTTTTCGTTTAAGAAATCTTTACTTCATAAAATGGCTTCCCCAATGGTAAATTCCAGTTTATACATTTTTTGAATTTTGAGGCTGGAACGGGTAGAAAGGATAAATTATTGAACTTGAATACATACATATTTATCTGTTTACGTTTATTTTTAGGATAATTCAAGAAAAATTTTGTCACATATTGATCCTGGAAATTTGAATTTTATTATATATCATAAGAACTGCCGTAAGATAATAACATAATTTTTTTTTTCCCTCCCCTTAAAAAAAGAATGTTCATAATTTATTTAATTCACTCTTTTATTCGCTTTTTAATATAACGACAGCTGATGGATTTGGAGCAGCATATTCGGCATGGACTCGATTTGGTACAAACGCAACATATTTTGCGGCAGCACATGATACACCACCACCATCTGATACGGAAATCCAAGGGAAACGTGTTGGATTATTTGATTTCGCATATAAAAATGAGATTCTTAATGAAATTGAGAAAAAAGCGGAATTGGTGGTTGTAGTTGATCATCATGTTTCAGCAAAAGACAGGTTAATCGGTCAAGGAAATGAAAATGAAAAAAATTATTATTTCGATATGAATAAAAGTGGAGCTAGGTTAGCATGGGAATTCTTTTGGCCTGACAAAGAAGTTCCTTTACTAATTCGTTATATCGAAGATAGGGTAAATAATAACGATTGAACGTTAAAGATTTTAAATGATGTTTAATTAAAAAAAAAAAAACGCTATCATCTTTTACTTTTAATTAGGACTTGTGGAGATTTGCGTTACCTAAATCTAAAGAATTTACTACATTTTGGAATAATGTACCACACGAATTTGAAGCTTATGATCAATATATTAAAGATGAGGTTTGTACAAGAAGGGAACTATAAAGTTAAAATTAATCCATTCATACCCTTTACCAACCTTTCGTTCTTTTTTTTTTAAAAAAAAAAAATTTATCTGAAAAGAGTTTGATAGAAAAAGCAAAAGAAGGCGGTACACATATATTGGGATATACGGACGCATTAGTAAACCAATTAGTGGAAAGACACGCGGCAAAACGTCAAATAACACTCTCAGTAGATCGATCCCCTCCCAAAACCTTTACAGTATTTATGTTAAATAGTATCACACTCCAATCAGAATTAGGAAATGCATTAGCCAGAAAAGAAGAAGCAGACTTTGGATTGGTATGGTATTATGATGCTAAAGAGAAAAGATATAATGTAAGTCTAAGAAGTATAGATGAAAAGGCTGATGTATCAAAAATTGCTAAAGTATTTGGTGGAGGGGGGCATAGAAATGCTTCTGGTTTTACTTGGGAAGATGAAACCATTGAAAAGCTTTTTAATTATGACAGAACTGATAGTGAAGTCTGGTATATTTGATATAATGAACCCTTTATTATTATATTATTAATCTTTATTGATAATAAAGCTTCTTTAATCCAATGAATTATTTTTTTGAGAAGGTAAAGCCTGGTAACGACCTTTCTTATCGTTACTAGGTTTATTGATTTTATAATAATTGTATCCTATAATTCCAGTAATAGAAACAAACAGCCTAAAAAAAAAAAAAAAAATGAAATGAAATGAATGCTTAGTAAGTTTTCACCATCACTTTCAAAATTCACCACCATCTTTAAGGATAGATCCACTCACCCAAGTAAATTGATTGGAGTTAATTCGTCGTGGTAAATTAATACAGATAGAGTGATAACAACGACTTCTTTACTAATCCCGGCAACAGATAGAGTGACGGTACTGGTATTTTTAATAAGGGCAAATTCGGCGATGGTCATACAAAAAGCCAGTAAACCCCCCATCAACATCAATCCAAAAGTTTGTAATCCTCTAGTAACATTTTCAAAATGTTTTGAAGTGTTAAAAACTTGAAAAGGTTGTTCAAATATTAATGATAATATACTCATCATAATAAACATTATTGGAGATAGGTAGTATAACGTTGCAACTGGATTATTCATTCCTTCTTCTTTTTGTAAAAGCATTTGTGTTAATGTCCATCTTAATCCACTTATTATTGCCGCTCCTAATACCAAAAGAAATCCTGTCAAATTAAATTTCGTTTCTCCTTCTACTGTTAATAAAACTCCAACACTGATTACTGTTATTATGATAATTAGTATTAATTTTGGTTGTTCTAACCCAAACGCAAATGCGAATATTAATACCCATATCGGTGTAGATGATTTAACCTAAATCAAAAAAGAAGGAATTATTTAATAAAGTGAGAAATTCTTTTTTGAGTAAGAGAAATTTCGATTAAAGACTTACCATGGTGTAAAAGCTTAGTGTGATAAATATAAGTGATGCATTTGCCATGCATATTTCTAATGCTGCTGCTACGGCACAAGGAACCTAATTAATACAATTACTTGAATTTATACCGAAAGGAAATCACCTCCTATCTTGAAACGTTGCAATGAAGAATTCAAGTAAAATTTACTTACCACGCGAGTAAAATAAGAAGAAATTGAAACAGATTTACCTTCGGGTTTTTTATATATAATAGGTAAATTACCACTCATCAATATCATGGTAATTAAAGCATGCATTCCGGTATGCATAGCGCTTATAAGTAAAGGTAATTTTAAATTAAAATATTCTTTTCCCATCAAATTCTTGTTATAAAATGATAGCGCAGTACTAAAAAAATACCATGCTAATATATAATAAAGATTTTTAAATATATTTTCCCAGGAAGTATGAACAGATGATCCGCTATTTTTTGGTTCTTTTTCTGTTAAGAAATTTGCTACATTATTCGATCTATCTATTGTTATTACTGAATCTTTTGAGGTTGTCATATTTGTATTAGCGATGGCGGTTGAATTATTGAAAGTTGGTAAATTTATATTCAAATTTGATGGAACTACTATAGATCTTGTTGGTTCAATTGAAGGTGAATTTGGTGCACTGCCTTTGATTATAACCGAAGATTTGTTAATTGAAGTTGGTGGTAAACTATGGTTACTACCATGATTTAACGTTTGACTATTATTCTCCATAATGATAATGTTTTTTGGCAGAATTTTGGATTCAAATAAATAAATTTATGTTTGCATACTTATTTCATATATCATATACAGTATATGGATACCCATATATAAATTTGGCAAGTGATTTTCATTGTGTAAAATTGTATAAAATCAAAAAAAACGGGGGAATCTCCGATATTACCTATTTTAGAAAAATTTAAACTCTTTTCCCAATTTAGCTTTTATACGGTACAGTCAACTCCCGTAAAAATTATTTTTTATTACGAAATGGTATACCAAATCCAACTAATGTTCCTCTTTTTGTTGCTATTCGTTGGAATTCTTGGTTTCAAATGGCTTGTTATGTGAGTGAAAATTATCAACACCTTCAAAATTTTTACTTGGAAG